TTATAGTGATTTCCAGATATTAGAACCAATTGCAAGCGTTTTAATAGCAATTAATATTAATAGCATTTGTTTGTAATTTCTCAAAGCAACTAAGACTAAGATATTTTTAAAGCTCGAGAGTGCAATACCTCTAAAAATGCATTTTGACTGTTAGTGCCATAAGTGTTATATTTTCACATGTAGTAGATATACAGTAGTTGTTCATTACTTTAGCTTCAATTCAGTCCTAAGCCCTATTAGTGCCTCACATTCTGAGTGTTTATTTTATTCTATAAATTCATATTTTTGAGTACAAAGTGATTGCCAGATCTCTGAGAAATAATTGAATATTCAAATGTTCAAAGAAATCGATGCTAAGAATGATAAACAAATAGCAAGTTTTTGCAAAACATTATTTTATTCACACAGTATTTGAAAATGAATTCAAATTCTAACACAATATATATGTTTTTTAATTATTGAACTTTTTATTTTCTTATCTTTTAATTGAATCATTGGTTTTATTGAAATTTAAATCAATTAATTGTTTCAATCATCTATTAAATTGCGAATCAAATATAAACTTTTATTAGATATTTCAATGAAATTATTAAAATTTAGTTATGATTTGAAACTTTATACTAATTAATGAATCGATTTTGTGTTAAAACAATAACTGTTTCCATAAATATTTATGCAATTTATTGACAGTAATATGGGTTTGAGTTTGAGTTACTACCGGAGACTTAATGGGAGTGAAAAATATGTGAATAGAGTGACCGCAACAGTGATCACGACTATCACACAACTCGTGAGAATCCTCTTCTGATTCTTTGTTTGATGAATGGATGAAATGTTCGCCAAATTCTCGTTCACATGCCGTTTGTTCTGTTTCTTGTAATTGATTCCACAAAACCATTGGAAAAAGTTTTTGATTTGAGATTCTTTTGCTGCTTTGATGTCATAATCAGCGCTTAATGTCATTAGAGTTCCGTTCGTTTGGCTGTTGTTCTCAGTGTTGATGTTTTGGCACTCAATTTGCCTCATATTCTCCATTTCATTCCAGCACCTTTAAATGACAAAATATTAGTTATCATATCATATATGAATACCACTTCTAATTATTTGTTATCATCTCATTAAACTTCATGGAAATTCTAATTTAGACAAATATTTCCAACAAATATATAATTAAAACTTTTGTTGTCTTAGACTTTCTTATTATTTCTAAATTGGATGCAATAGATATTAGAAAATGATAAATAGAAAAAATATGGTAAATATAAACACGGATTTTATAATTTAGATTAATGGCTATTATATAATATTTACACAATTCCTCGAAATAATGGTTTACCAAGAATTCACAAAAAAATATTTCTTAAAAAGTTGAAGAAAGTTATGATTACTGAGTGGTTATGAGAATATTATTAAACAGAATACAGTATATAATTATNGTTTACCAAGAATTCACAAAAAAATATTTCTTAAAAAGTTGAAGAAAGTTATGATTACTGAGTGGTTATGAGAATATTATTAAACAGAATACAGTATATAATTATTATCTAATTATAGTCTCTATTCAGTGTCCACTGGTTTGAATCATTTTGATTAAAAGTCAATGATTGTTATGAATGTTATAAATTGTTAGAAATGCAAATAAATTAATTCTGTTTTAATTAAAAATTACAAATAAAACTAATTCTGTGTTTTATTTCAATTGTTACAGATTTGTAATAAGATTAAAATTTAATCGTGAAATCAAATAAACAAGTGAAAAATATTTTTGTTTGTTTTGAATGAGATTTAGTGTGAATTAATGACATCATACGAAGATTGTGTCCAAAACATTGATAACTCAGTTATTATGACATAACAAGTAAGAAGGAAAGGCAGACATAGATTGTGACAAAAGTTGTAAACAAATTGAATCCATTATGAGTTAGTGTTGAAAATGAATGATAATTTGAAGTGAAATTTCACTCATATTATGATTAAAAGAGATATAAAGCAAAGATTGCAGACAAGCATAGCCTGCTATGAATGCACAGGCAGTAGACTATCGGCTATTAATATAACACAGAATAGGATGGCATAGCATAGGGTAGAGCAGAGCATAGCATAGACTGAATTGCTGTCGACTCGTGTAACTGACTGTGAATTTCCTGCGATTCCTGGAATCGATGGAAAGGCATTCAAATATGTGTTGGATGTGTGGCTGTTGTGGGAATGGCTGTCGAGTATAGCTGAGCTTCAAAGCAATTCCTAGAACTCGAGACTCGCTTTCATAGCGTCACTCAACACAAGTGTATTGTATTGCCTGTGAATTGCATTCAAACTGATCATACCTTTCACTACAACACAACTCCTCATTGTATTGAATGTAAGTTTTGTTTCAATTAATTTTATTAATCATTTTATTTGAACACATTTTCATTACAATTTCATAGACAACACATTTTAGTGACACTATTGTAAACACAATCTAGTACAATCAATAACTTTTGACTCGAATATTTAGAACCCAAATTAGACTAATACAAGCTAGGTACTTTATGTTTCGTAGCATGTTTACTTGATTATATTTGTTAATTTTATTATATTATAAAGTAAATTGTGATTCTTAACTATATTACGATAGTATTGTCAAAATAAACAGACATTTTGCTTAAAATATTGATTAATTTTGAGTGCATTTCGCGATTAAACCGTGTTTTGAATATTTTATGAATTATTTATTATCTCTTTATTATTGCGTTTTTAAAGTAAATATCACTTTAATTGTCATTTTATGTGTCATTTGTATGAATATTTCACATGATTTTATATCTCATATTTCATATCCCTGATGACAATTAGTCTGAAATATAGGTGATATCAAGTAGTGGTCCAGCGATTGATATAAAGAATTCTCGAGAAGATGTCTGTTTGGGCACAACTACAAGAACTGCCCGAAGAGGCCCAACAACAGGTGCACCAGACATATGGAGAGCAGTTCCCGATCGAAGTTCGCTGTGCTTTAGCGCAATGGATAGAAGAGAAGCCGTGGAAGGACTTGGATGCAGACAATCCACAGCACGAGGCGTACGCGTCGACTCTGGTGTCGTCCCTGATCTCGGAGATTGAGGCGAAGGCCAACTCCACGGAAAACTTTGTCACAAAATTCAAGTTAACGCAAAGCGCGCAGAACTTCCGACTCAATTACTCGCACAACCCCTTCATATTAGTCCGTATTGTCAAACACTGTCTGAACACTGAGGCCAAAGTGATCCAACAGTCGCAGAACTACTTGAATATCTCTAACCACGAGACCAAACCTCTCATCAGAGATCCGCAGCAAGAGATCACTCAACAGATGGAGAAGTTGAGGAAACAGACGATAGAGACGGAGGAAGAGTTGCGACGAATGCGCGAAGACCAGGAACAGTTCATCATTCAGTTCCAGGAGAACCAGAAGAGGCAGATGACTATCCAACAACTCAATTGCCAACAAAACCAAAACATTGAACTCATCAACAAATGGCAGAAAGAGAAGGATTCGTTGGACAACGCGTTGAGACTTAAGGCCTCACAGCTGTTCCAAATGCGAATGGCGCTCATCCAGAGACATACCGACACTTTCGGCGCTCTCCAGAGCCTTCAACAGCGAGTTCTCGACGAAGAACTCATTAATTGGAAGCGCGCGCAACAGTTGTGCGGAAATGCAGTGCCTTTTGACAACAATTTTGAGTTGCGACGAATGCGCGAAGAACAGGAACAGTTCATCATTCAGTTCCAGGAGAACCAGAAGAGGCAGATGACTATCCAACAACTCAATTGCCAACAAAACCAAAACATTGAACTCATCAACAAATTGCAGAAAGAGAAGGAGTTGTTGGACAACGCGTTGAGACATAAGGCCTCACAGCTGTTCCAAATGCGAATGGCGCTCATCCAGAGACATACCGACACTTTCGGCGCTCTCCAGAGACATACCGACACTTTCGGCGCTCTCCAGAGCCTTCAACAGCGAGTTCTCGACGAAGAACTCATTAATTGGAAGCGCGCGCAACAGTTGTGCGGAAATGCAGTGCCTTTTGACAACAATTTAGATCAAATCCAGGAGTGGTGTGAAGTGTTGGCTGAAGTGATTTGGGCCAACAGGCAGCAGATGAAGAGGATCGCAGACATGTGCTCTCAGTTGCCGTTAGGGCCCAACACATCCAATGGACACACAGAACAACTGCAACTCCTAAACAAACAGATCACGAGTTTGTTGTCTAATTTGGTGACCTCGACCTTCATCATCGAGAAACAGCCGCCACAAGTCATGAAGACTAATACCCGGTTCACATCAACGGTCCGACTGCTGGTCGGCGGCAAACTTAACGTGAATATGACTCCGCCTCAGGTGAAGGTGACGATCATCAGTGAATCTCAGGCCAACTCCATGATTAAGAACGATCAGGTGTCCAGCGGTGAGGCCAGTGGGGAGATCCTCAACAACTCCGGGACTATGGAATACCACTCCGCCAGCAGACAACTGTCCGTCAACTTCCGTAATATGCAGTTAAGGAAAATAAAACGCGCGGAGAAAAAGGGGACGGAATCAGTGATGGACGAGAAGTTCTCTCTCCTGTTTCAGTCCAAATTCAATGTCGGCGGAGGGGAACTGGTGTTCCAAGTCTGGGTCAGTCTCTGTTTCATGATATACCGGTAATAATATGTTTTTTAATTGTCAATATCTTTTCAGACCCTTTCACTCCCAGTTGTGGTCATAGTTCATGGCAATCAGGAACCACATGCCTGGGCAACAGTTACCTGGGATAACGCATTTGCTGCACCGGTATGTCTACAAATTGACTGTTCATACATTTATTATTGATTTAACAACTAATATGTAAATTGTGTTGAATAGGGAAGGACTCCGTTTGTAGTGCCAGAGAAGGTGCCGTTCAGTCAAGTGGGAGAAGTGTTGAGTCAGAAATACAAGGGTGCGATCGGACGGGGTTTGAGTGAAGAGAACCTGCGATTCTTAGCGGGAAAGGCGTTCAGAAATCCAAATTTGCAGGACTGGCCCAACCAGTTGTTGAGTTGGTCTCTATTTAGCAAAGAGCCCCTTCCGGACCGCAGTTTTACGTTTTGGGAGTGGTTTTACGCCATCCTTAAGGTCACACGAGAACACCTGCGCGGCCTCTGGAATGACGGATCAGTTATGGGATTCGTTTGGCGCCGACAGGCAGAAGAGATGCTGTCCAAGAGGTCGAGCGGCACTTTCCTATTGAGATACAGCGACTCAGAGTTGGGTGGAGTGACGGTGGCCTGGATTGCTGAGGGACAGGAGGGCAACGAGACATATATGTTACAGCCGTTCACTTCGCGAGACTTTCAAATCAGAGGACTCGCCGATCGCATCAATGACTTGAAACACTTGACTTATTTGTATCCGGATATACCTAAAGATCAGGCGTTTTCCAAATACTACACCCCTTTCAATGACAGTCAGCCGTCGTCTTCGAATGGATACGTGAAGCCAGTGTTGGTTACATTCATTCCCGGGTATGTCCTCTAAAGCCATAGTGTGGTAGAGATTACTACAAAATGTATGTTTTGTGCCCCCAGTTGGTCGGGTAACAGTCCATTTGACTCGTACCCAAACACCCCGCAATCGGTTCTGCATAACCCGCACTCTCCGAGCGACGGTTCCCTCTCATATCATGACAACCCTTCAATCCAGAGTGCGTCCAATGACTGCGCTATGAAGTAAGTAATGACACGTTTTGTCGGTCAGACTCTCTGCGAATTTCGTTCATTTGGTCTCTTGTCGTGCAATCAATTGATACACAAATCACTTAATCTCACACTTAAGACATCTTTAACACGCATAACATATATATGAATATTTAAATAATTATTTTTTATTATCAAAAACAAAGTTAATTATTTGACGAGTTTAAAGTTATATTTTATAAAACCATTGCTATTATGTAGTGTTTGTTAAACCAAAAGGTTTTTTAAAAATGAATAAATAGTTTATTTGGTAATACTTTGTCTTTTCTGATCTTCAGTGCTGTCGGAGGAATGGGAGGAACTGTTGACGATTACACAGATTTAATGTCTATGGATTTGGTGTCTGATATGGACGCTCCGGTCGACTTCTCCTCCATTAATGTCTCCGATCTCATGTCTTACAGCAAGTCTTCATGAGATCATTACAAACAAACAGATAATATAAACATTTATTGATTTTGAGATTATAGTGATTTCCAGATATTAGAACCAATTGCAAGCGTTTTAATAGCAATTAATATTAATAGCATTTGTTTGTAATTTCTCAAAGCAACTAAGACTAAGATATTTTTAAAGCTCGAGAGTGCAATATACCTCTAAAAATGCATTTTGACTGTTAGTGCCATAAGTGTTACATTTTCACATGTAGTAGATATACAGTAGTTGTTCATTACTTTAGCTTCAATTCAGTCCTAAGCCCTATTAGTGCCTCACATTCTGAGTGTTTATTTTATTCTATAAATTAATATTCATATTTTTGAGTACAAAGTGATTGCAAGATCTCTGAGAAATAATTCAATATTCAAATGTTCAAAGAAATCGATGCTAAGAATGGTAAACAAATAGCAAGTTTTTGCAAAACATTATTTTATTCACACAGTATTTGAAAATGAATTCAAATTCTAACACACAATATATGTTTTTTAATTATTGAACTTTTTATTTTCTTATCTTTTAATTCAATCATTGGTTTTATTGAAATTTAAATCAATTAATTGTTTCAATCATCTATTAAATTGCGAATCAAATATAAACTTTTATTAGATATTTCAATGAAATTATTAAAATTTAGTTATGATTTGAAACTTTAAATTAATTAATGAATCGATTTTGTGTTAAAACAATAACTGTTTCCATAAATATTTATGCAATTTATTGACAGTAATATGGGTTTGAGTTTGAGTTACTACCGGAGACTTAATGGGAGTGAAAAATATATGAATAGAGTGACCGCAACAGTGATCACGACTATCACACAACTCGTGAGAATCCTCTTCTGATTCTTTGTTTGATGAATGGATGAAATGTTCGCCAAATTCTCGTTCACTTGACGTGTGTTCTGTTTCTTGTAATTGATTCCACAAAACCATTGGAAAAAGTTTTTCATTTGAGATTCTTTTGCTGCTTTGATGTCATAATCAGCGCTTAATGTCATTAGAGTTCCGTTCGTTTGGCTGTTGTTCTCAGTGTTGATGTTTTGGCACTCAATTTGCCTCATATTCTCCATTTCATCGCTTCTTTCTCTTTCATCAAATCGCGTCCAATATGTGGTTCTTATGAGCTGTCAATTCAGTACACAATATAAGGGTATTAATGATACAGTATTGATATAATTTTACTACAATTATTGAATTTGTAATATTTAACTAATAAAAATTAAACCAGAAATATACCCTAAATTCTTCCGTTTTCTTTGTAATAAAGCTGATTATTACCGCCGAAAAGATTGTTAACCAAAAGACAATTATTGCGAAATACATGTAATGAAGTTTAAGAATATTTGGTCGAGAATCTAATTCCCCACAAACCGGTTCTCTGTATATTAGATTCAATATTAATCTAATGATTCCGGCTATTAATCCGATAATTAGTGACCAAAAGGCTCCGCACTCGTTGAGTCTCTTCCAAAGAATGGCCAGAATATAAACGGCTGCAATGGGTGGGGACAGGTTGGCCGCAATGTCCTGGATGTATATATAGAGCTCTCCATTTTGCATCTCTTGTATTATTGGAATCCATAGAATACTAATGACAACCATTACTATCACAAAACATCTGATAACAAATTAAACCATAATTAGTGTTTAATAACAATACATCAATTGTAAAGTCAAATACCGGCCGACAATCATAAGCTCAGTGAGTGTTGCTTTCTTACGAATCAATGGCCAGATATCACAAGTGAATAAAGTACTCGAACTGACAAATTGATTGGTTATAAATTATATTATACTGGTACTGTATACCATTCTCTAAGAATATCAATATAAATCTCAAACCTATTGAATATTGAGGTCAAGTCACTCATCAATGCGGCCAACATTACGGCTAATATTAATCCTTTGAAAGGACTGGGCATTAATCCCAATACTAATTTAGGGTAGGCTGTGTTTGAACAACTGACCGGACTATTGCAGAATTGCATACACTTGTTTGGATCAACACATGCAACCTCATCAGTGTACAAAACTCTGCTTATCATTCCGGGAATTATAATCAAGAATAGCGGGAATATTTTGAGGAATCCTGCAAATATAGTGCCTCCCTGTGCATGAGATAATGATTTGGCAGCTAATAGCCGTTGAACCATCATTTGGTCAGCGCACCAATACCTGTATTTCATAAATTATTGTCATTTAATAAATACCCCCTCATTATAGTGATTATAGTGAACCAACCAAATGGAAGCGGGTGTCTGTCCTAATAGGAACCCGAGCCATGGCATGTCCGGGTCGTCCAATGGTCTCAGCATTTGGAAAGAGTGCTCCTTAGGGACAGCGCACTCATACTTATTGGACGGTATGGACGACGGAATAGCTTTCAGATATTTCTCTTGTAATGCCCCCAAACCTCCCACTTCTATGAGACCTTTGAAATTGATTTATGAAAATAAATTTATATAATTTGTAATGATAAATAAATTACATTTACAGACAATTTACAAAATTAAATATTTTTTATAAGACAAATAAACATAAAATATGAATTCCTCACATTTATGGCTCAATTCTCAATATTCTGCTCATATTTAGCTGAAAATTATGAAAAATAATCATTTGATTACCAGTTATTAAAACATTAAACAATGTGTTAATCGCTTTTTGGGGTGAAATATTGGTGTCCACTTAGTTATCACTTCAACAAAAATATGTTTATTATAAAAGCACTCAAAACATTAAAGTATTGATTTCAAATTAACAAAGAATAAAGACAGAAACTTAGTATAAACTTGGACTAAAAGTAGCGGTAAAACGAAATTCAAAATACTATTAATATTGAGTAAAAATTCTCACTTTTTATTGCAACAACAGAAGCTCCGATAATCATAATAAAACATTGGAAAGTATCGGTATATATAACTGCTGTGAGTCCACCTTTAAATACAAGTTAATTTTAATTAATTTTCAAACTAATTAATAGTGAATTAACAACATACCGGTAACCGTACAAATCGATGTAATAACAAGCAATAGGATTACACTAAAATATAGGTCCCAACCCAACGCTTGCTGAATGAATATCCCACCGGAATACAGATTTACCTGTTCATTTAGTTGTTAAATTAACTATCAAATCAATACTTAATGAGATTTTAAATAACAAACTGAAATTTTTGTGAAGATATATAAAAGCATTGATAGAATTGCCAAATAAGTCCTTATTCTGGTGCCACCAAATCGTTTTGACATATACTCGGGTAAAGTGCAAACCTATTCATGTAAAATATATTGTACCAGTATACTGTACTGTATATTTTTCAAATTAAATTAATCTTAAAATTCTTACTCTACTTGCGATGAACACTGGCAAAAATATCCAGCCAGTAATTTGAAGTATAATCAGTGCCTATTTTAGAAACAAATAATTAATTGTTCATTAAATTACATTTTACTAAATTACAGAATATTCTACAATTTGTATTCAGTATATCTTACATTGAATTCAAAAGCTCCCACTCCTATACCAGAAGCAGCTCCTATGTGTCAAACAAATCAAATGCTTAAACAGATTTCAAAGCAACTTAATTCATATTAATTCAACAGGCTTAAAACATAATTTGTACAACATTATTTTTATAATATTTATAGTTAAAATAATTATAAATATTTTATATTTTTATAGAAAAACAGACAAACATTTAAATGGTTGTGTTCGCCATTAAAATCTTAAATTAGCCGTTGGAGTGGGCCAGGGATTTAAAATTAAGAATATTACTCATTATAAAGAGCTATAATTGATAATTCTAAATTATGATAATTACCTGATCCAGCTAATCCGATAAAATGTTCGGACCCTATATTTGAAGCAAAGACTGATGCACCCACCTATCAATAAATGAGTACAATCATTTTAAACTATTTATTTATTAAAATTCATGTTTACTATAATAATGGGTACACACCGGAAGCCAAACCATATATCTTCCGGCGAGAAAATATCCGCTAATTGTTCCTCTATTTGATCGATACATAGCCTGTTATGAGAATTAATATCATTTTTAGTAATCAGTAATCATCACTGATCATTTATCTGTAAAGTTTTTATGTATTATGTAAAGTATGCAATTCGTGTTATTGTATGTTTTTCTGTATGAACTTATAATAAAATTATACTTCAACTTTTAATAACTTTATAATTTTATAGGGATATAAATAGTTGCTATCACTGAATTCACACATTCTTAATGGTTTAAAGCAGTTTTATGTTGCCTATAGAGTCTATGGTATAGATTTAATTATTTTATATGTTCACTAATTGTTACTTTTGCAATTATTCAATAAATAAAATAGTAGGCAATAAGACAACTCTTTCCTTTCATGCATCGGTAACTTCAAAAACAATTCATTTATATAATTGGAGTTACGATACATAATATGGTAACAAAAATTTAACAATTTGTTTGCAACAGGTTTTATAACTAATTAGCAGACCTTGAGACGGCTCTAAACTCTTATAAGATTTGAACGAAATTTAACGGAAATCTTAAAAAGGTTTAAAATATTATTTAACGTTTTATTTATATACAATTTAATGCTATTTAAAAGATTTATGAATGTTCTTGACTTTTGAATAGTTAAGAAAAGTAATTCTCCGTAAATTTCATAATTTAAAAGCTATAACTCTGTATTTAATATTAGACCTCTTGATCTGTTAGAAGATATCCTTGATTTCACATCACTTGAGCTAAAGTTACAGTAGTTTGAAAGTTTCAAATTGAAACCAATGATTGTGGAGTAAAACTGAAGGTAAGCATAGATTTAGTGATAAGAGACAAAGAAATTCTAATAAGTATTATTTGAAGGATATTTGAAAAAATATTTTTGCTTCAACTGTAATTAATTGAAACATAAATTGTTTTGAGAAATAAATTTTTCTCACTCATCAATATTTATCTCAGTTTTCGCAAATTTCTATAAATACTAGAATTAACACAAATTGGGTTACACAATCTATACATAAAATCAATATTAATCAAATGATATTTTAATAACTATTTTAAAGAATTTAGATTTATCACATGAGAACCTACTGTCCCAGCATTAATATTACTGTATTATAAATTAAAGTTTAAAGTTATAAAATTACCATTTAGGAAATTATGTAATACTTTCGAAACTGAGAATAATACAATTTTAAATTATATTAATCTACTGTACATCTATATTATACTAATATAATTTTAATATACTGTATATACAGTATAAGTTACATATATATACAAAATCTAATTTATTAAATGTAATATACTTTGTTTTTAATATTTATTATATTCTAAATAATTAGCAAATTAATATTTTTAAAAATCAAAAATATATACTATAAACTACAGTTATTATAGGATAATAAAATATTCGCAATTAACTAGTAAATTAAAAAAATATAAAAGTAGGAATGACTTACATAAAAGCCGGTGGCTAATACCAGGACAAAATATACAACTACAACACTGATGTCGCCGGCATTCAAGTATTTCCTGTCATTTGGATTATAATTGGAGTCTAAACTGTCGTTTAAAACAGTAATAACCGGCGATAAAGATATGGAATGCATTTGAAATATGATTTCCACTACTATTTTGTGATAACAATTGGATTCTTGTAGCGATTATTATTAATACCAATATTTAACGAATGCATTCATTTAAAAGCATTCAACAGATGAGTTCGGAATGAATGGAAAATTTCCAGAAAAGTATATCCAGGCAACCAAACCACAGAATCCATTCAATTATATTTTTTTTGGTTATGCAATCTTCCCATTATCTATTCATTTGACAATTATCCAAAATATTAATTAATAGCACATTTTATTTTTAAAATATTAAAGCTTAAAAATAAATATAATAAATTACTCACAAATTCGTGACTTTTAAATTAAATATTTGATATAATTTCGTGTATATAGTCTGCCGGTGCTATTCAGTGAGCAAACTCCAAGTTGTTTACTGTATATGAGTTAAATCAATATATACTTTACTGTACATCATTGTAAAATATACAGTGAAATCTGTTTTTCAAAGTCATTCACTTATAAAGTTCTAATTTTTTATTTATTATATTTTATGACAATAGTATCGTAAATGTTTTATAACCAACACAGTTAATAAAGGAAATTTACCATGCACTACTATAAATTCATATAATATACAACATATAACATATTATGTGTTTTATATTTCAAAAATATTACTCGTATATGGCACATAAAAATTATCATTTATAAATTTTATACATAATGACAACTATTAATTAAAACAAAATTTTTATTAAAATAATTGCTTAAATGTCATAACATTATTACAACAGTTGTATTAACAAGCCGCTTAATAGTGTTATTCAAACAACTAAATATTATTAAAATTTTAATATAACATTATAAGATTTTAAGTTAGTTTATGTTCAGAAATCAATAACTTTATTGAATGAGTTCAAAGGTTTGTTATAATGTTTGTGCATGGTATTCTGTATAATGTGCTCAAAGGTTCATCTTATTAAATCATTTATATTAATCTACTGTAATATAATAAGCAAAATTATTGCAAATTAGATAAACATTAAAATAATTGCAAATATATTCAGCGTATCATTAGATTATTTCAATGTAATGATATATGCAGTTTTAAAACTAACAGTTTAATAGTGATAGATATATCGTATATCATAACTGTATTGTCTATCATATTTTGTGCAATATTTACAAAATAATATTTACCTGTTATGTTATGAACTTTTATATAAATACATTTCTATACAAAAAATAAATGATAGAATTAAACAAAACAAACAAAACTGTTATTTAATATGTGATGAAAGTTATAGCAAACAAATTAGATATTGTATTACAATAACAACAGAATATTCTGAACACTATTCTGTTGACCGCAGTATTCACTGAATGTATGGTTAATGTGGACGTAATTGTCGTACGAGTGAGTCGTGCAGTGAAGTGTGAATTGCATTGAATTTGGTTCACAACAACATTTGGCAAAAGACTTCGTGTCCATCGGATCCCAAGTGATGACTATCACAGATGACGTCCAACTGCCCACATATGAGGAGCTCGATGTGCAGGAGATAAACGTGTCGCAGCCGGTGCTCAAGGCATCGGCCATGCATTTCGGCAAATACTGCGACCAGATATCAAAGGTTTGTTGACATTGGATCAGCTGTTGGTGATAATGACTGCTAACCATTGCTGTGATTGTGATAGGAATTCATGTTATGTCGCATTGAGGAGAGAGATCCGCGCAAATGTCTGTCGGAGGGGAAGGCTGTGACGGCCTGTGGACTCGACTTCTACCGTCAGGTGAAGAAGAACTGTCGCAACGAATTGGAGAAGTTATCCAAATGTATGGAATGGACTGATTATGACCTCAAGTTCTGGTAGTAAGTGATCGCGAGGACCACGAGTGAGCCCATGATATCACTAATTGTCTTGTATTTGCCGATCAGTTGTCGCAAAGAGCAGGGACTGTACGACCAGTGCATGACTGAGAAGATGGGTCTCGAGAGACCGCCGTTGGGGTACTTCACGCAAGTGAGGGTTCACGACACCCAACGACCCAAACCATCGCCCACTGCACCCAAGTTTATGGACCCCACTATAGGACTGCCCGAAGACTTCCCCGAACAGGAGGCCAAATACGGGTGGAGACACTGGTGGTCCTTCTGAGGCCATCGTTGCCTCCATTCTCTACATTTGATTCAATTGTTTATTAGTTTGTATTTTAGTTGTCAAACAATTAGTGATTTATTGTAATAAATATATTCTATCATTACTTAGCGATTAAATTAAATTAATGGCAGTTTTATGCCACAAACAGTGCAGTTATGGTTTCATTTATTATTCAGTCATTTATTAGTAACAGATTTACATTAAAAGCAATTTATAGACAATTTAGTGGTGAACAGGGGATGAGGATAGGGATGTGTGTGTGTTATGTAAGTCCAATATTCTCTAAGTTCTGGATTATGATCATTGTGTGGACGTTCTCGAAGACACGCTTTATATTGTTGGTGTCGGTGGCGGTCGTGAAGTGACAAAAACACTCCCGTTTTTTCTCGTTGGAGTTCTCGTTAACGTAATTAGAAGTACTGAACTTCCGGTGATCCGGGGGTTTGCGAGTGATCTCTAGAAACAGTTCCCGAATAAAGGAGCGCCCCTTTAGGTAGGGGTCGTTTGGGTCGCCGTCTTTGGAAGACATGACGAAAGTGTGATATTCCGGGAAATAGTTCTCTATTTTAGAGCCCCTTTCGATCTTCTCTTTGAGTACATCCTGTTTGTTGAGGAATAGTATGAATCCGGAATCGATTAGGAATTTACTGCTCCAGACGTCTTCGAATAGAGACAGACTCTCTCGAAGTCTATTTGTCTGATTGTCTTCTCGCAAATTGGTATCAAATCCAGAAGAGGCCACTAAAAACAGAATAGCAGTTATGCCGTCAAACACTTGAATCCATTTACGTCTCTCTCCTCTCTGTCCTCCGACATCAAACATCCTGTCGTTCAACCAATCAATACTTTCTTAGTCTTTATTGTAATTTAATTGTTTGTATGAAAACAGTAGAAGTCTTACCAAAACATTTGAGTGCCGCCACCGAACTGAAGGGGAACTTTCACTTCAAATTCAATTCTTTGTATTTCACTCGTCCTCTTACGACAGTTTAAGACGTCCTGATCTGATGGCACATAATCTGCACCTCTTATCACATCAATTTTGTCCAAAAAACTATGCAATCAATCATTAAATATTTATAATATTTTACTAACATTTATAGTACTCAATACTGAAGTTATACTGTAGTAGAAGGACACTTACTATTTAGCACAATCAATTAACGTGAATTCATTAGACCTTCGATATGACCCTTGGACACCCTGATCACTCCACAGACGTTTGACGTTATCATAAAACTCTTCGGGATAGCTGTAACTGTCAGCTGTACTCATATCCAAATTATGTACAAAATCTAAACTATTCTGATTGTTAGTGTTGTGCAAAGTAATCGGTGGCTTTAAGTACGGCATGTTTTCTGTCAATTCCTTTGAAAATATAATTTAATTTAAAAATTTTAATTCAATATATGTTAGTTAAAAAAAAGTAAGTTTTAAGTTTATTATTCAGTTATTATGAATATAAATTTAGTTTAAACTAACAGTAGTTTGTGTTTTCATAATAAGATAAATAGTTACTAAAAACACAAAATGATTACTTTTTATTTGCTCTTATTATTGATTCGATTAGGTTATCATATTAAGAAACTATATTTAATTTATCAAGAAATGACTATTATTTTCGTATTGCAATTAACAGTAATAAGTATAGCACTACAGTTGTTTGTTAAGGCACAACAGAAAAAAGTTTGATATCATAGCAGAAAACTTTCTAATTATATTTATAATATAATTTACAATGTTATAGTAAACTCGATGCACCAGGATCTACAATGCCGATTGTGAATTAAGATTGTAATGATAATTCTTACAAAAATAACAGACCATAAAAAGTAAATTTTTAATATAATGGATATAAAAAAGTCAGCTGCTATTTAATTCTTTTAATTAATTCTTTTAATTTTATTTAATTTTTTTATTCAGACGGCCGCACAGCATATCAACAGTTAAAATTAACTGCAGTTAGTTAACTGTTAATAGTTAACTAGTTAATCAATAGTTAACTGCACAAAGTCTTGAAATTACAATAAATAAAATCAAAGTATATTTTTATTAGTGCATTAAGAATATTCTGTAAAAATTGATGAGTTGAATGTATTGTTCAGATAGGACCAGTACACATCCATGATACTAGCACTTTGGATGTGTAAATTTTTGGTTTAAGGTATTTAATTAAATAGAGTTTAATTGAATTGGAAAGATTAGAATTTTGAAATTATATTTTTAGGTATAAATCTCAAAACTCTCATTTCTTTTATGTCTGATATAATATATTTTTAATGTTTATAAATATGTAAAATTACCCAAAATAAAATGACTATTGTAGTAACTTATTTATTTAAACATTTAAATATGTTTCATTAGAAAGAATGAGTTTCTGCTTATTATTTGCTTACTTTAATGGCTTCTAATAAATTACATCTGATTTCAAGCGCTTTCTCTTTCCTTTCGGCGTCCGAAAAGCCTTCGATGTGAAGAATTTTCATTTGTTTAATAATAGTGGTCTTTCCACTTTCACCGGCACCTATATTTGCCACACAATCGTTAACAAAATACTTGTATTTATATTACTTCAAAATGTATACCTAAAAGGAGTAATTTAATAGATTTCCGGTACTGTTTCATCCAAACGTTAATCTTCTTATCCAACTCTTTGCTGGCCCTTCGGTTCGGGTCATTGTTATTACAGATGCAAAGGGCCGGCATCTCTTCACTGCGACAACACTTTATGTGAAACTATCCCTTATTTAGGAAATCAATTAGTTAATAGACATATTTCCAAGTGATGCTCACATTATATGACTCTATCGTAAATAACTTAGATTTTGGTCAAATCGTGTGAATTTAAAGCACCTACCACTTCAATTAATAAATTAATTAAACAATTGTAGCTGTATTACTAGTTTACACTTCATTCATAAGTGCTGTATATTTGCTGAATATTTTACTATAATTTTAAATCTAATCTGTGTTACCAACAAAATAAAAGATGTAAGTTTATGATCAATGGGTAGCTTTTATCAAAATTAATTAATTGCTCTCCACTTAAAACACTAGTTGTCTATGAGATAATTATTATGTAAAACTTGTAATAATGGTATTACAGTACAAGTCCACAATGCCGAGGAAACTTATACACTATAGTACTGTAGTACTGTACTAATCTAATGTACAAATTATAGAATAATAAAACTAATTTCGTGCACCTTATGATTCATGTAATGAATTTCATGTCTTGTAATATAGATATAATTAATATGAAATTGTTAATGGTTTTAAATTCTGGGATTCACATGAGACCTTTAAAGGCCATTGATGAAAATAATTAAAGCACATTTGAAATCACCTGACAATAAGTTTTTGAATCTATAAAGTTATTGCACTTTTAACTAATACAATGATAAATTCTATAAAATATTTATAATTACGGTAATTAATGAATGCAACTGGTTTTATTTATTATAATAATCTAGATGTTTTTTAAAGAAAACTAATTTTGTAAAATATAGTCTGTATGTCATGCAAAAATTAGACTATATAATGAAATAATTAAACACAATACAGTAGTATTACTTATTTAAGAGTTTTGCTAATTATTTAGCTGATAATAATAATTATTGTTTGCTACAAAATTTTAAAATATGAATAGTACCATTCTTAAAAACATATTTCATTTAATTATTACTAAAAATTTATTTTTCTAGAGGATGTCCATAATTTCGTATACTTTATTACGTTATGATATGCATCTAATAACTTGTACTGAGTAAATTAGTACCAAATGTTACATTTGTCATCAACTTTAGGTAAATTAGATTAAAAGTTTATAGGAATAATAAACAATTTATTATTCTAATTTAATATTTTAAACAAATATAACTATTTTGACAAAATGCTAATGATGCCTTAAATGTATAGAAATTATTATATTTAATTCATATTTACTTTACAACTCTATTTAGAGTCTATTATGATTAAGTACTAAATTAAATTAAATATTGTATTATTTTATTTATAGTAATTTTAATATAGAATTTAAATTGTTAGAAGTTATAATAATATATTATGTTTTCTAGGATACTATACAAGTTAAGTCTAACTTATATAAGATTTATAATTACAAAATATTCCACTTACAATGTGTTTAATAAATATTTAATAAATTTTGTGGAAAATAATTTACTAACATCTAATCACTGTTTTCAACAAAAAGTTACTTTACGATCATTGTTATCAATGATTAGATACGAAATAGTTTAGATATAGTACGAGATAATGTGTAATATTCATACAATAAGTACAATACAGTATATAGTATAATAAATACAAATATTCAAGATAAAATAATTTCCTGTATTAAAAATAATTTGACAGACAATTAAACATAAATAGATATGTACTTTACTTGATTACTTTAAGTTTTAAATAATTATAATTATAATAAATTAAATAATTGATAAGTTTATGAGAATATATACAGTACTGTAATTAGAGTTAAATTTAAGTCTATAATTACCTGAATTCCAAAATATGTTGCTTTCGATGAACAGAAAAGCAATTATTTGTTCAAATATGAGATAACAAAACCAAAGCTTAAAATGTTCTCAATTTCAACAAATTATTAATCAAAAACACGAACATTTGAGAGCATTTGAAAACATGAAATACAACCACAAACACAATCAGTTAATTACAAATCCACCAAACAATCAATTTCTCATCAGTCTCTCAACATAAGACCTATTGAGCGCAGGTATGCAATCATATAATTGATTGATAGCGTGAACAAAGCAATCCACAGTTAAAACTAAGTTATCAAATCAAAAACCGTCGCTTCAAACACTCAAATGGGAGTCAAAGTACAAATCGTTAAAAATATCTATTTCTTAAGTTTATATTGTATTTGATTTATATTTTAGTGAAACATAATTACCGACAAATGAATTACAGTATATTAAAGAACAATGAGTGCTTAATATAGAAATAAATGACTTATTTAATCAAAACAGTAATAAATTACATAATATTTTCAAAAATGTTTCTATGGTTTCAATGAATTCATCGTAAGAGAGACCACTTGAGCTGCTCTCTCGCCGACTGCAGCACTTGGGCTACCGTTTGCTCGCCTAATGGGATGTCATCGGGTTTTAAGGCTACGCGCTGTACCACAGCAACGGGATCCGACTCCAGTATAATCCTATAGCAAACAAACAATTAGATTACGAGTGCATTGAGCACTAATCACAACAATTAGTCGTACCCTCCGTCGCATATCTCATCCAAAGCTAGTATAACAATATCCAAGTTATCCAAGAGATTGCGTTTCTCCACATTCTTCTTCAGTATATGAGATATCGACTCAAATAAACAGTTCATAACTGACGCCAATATTAGCTATCATTTACAAGCAATTCATTATTCATTGAAATTATGTTCAATGCATTTATGGGCTTAAAAGTTTGATAGACTGACCCCGTTCTCATTGGAACTGCCCATCACGTAGAAGTAGAGGTCAACAGAGCTCCGGTAGACACACGTGAGTCCGTCCAACATAATGATCTCAGCATTAGCTCTATGGGTCTTATTGAACAGATTCCTCTCAAACGCCTTCTGCTCTTTAGTCGTGGGAAACGTGTCGTCGAAATACTGTTGCAATCAATTAATTACCGTTACTTTCAGTTTTGCGTGAAGTACCCCAACGGCGGTCTCTCGAGACCCATCTTCTCAGTCATGCACTGGTCGTACAGTCCCTGCTCTTTGCGACAACTGATCGGCAAATACAAGACAATTAGTGATATCATGGGCTCATGAAGTGGTCCTCGCGATCACTTACTACCAGAACTTGAGGTCATAATCAGTCCATTCCATACATTTGGATAACTTCTCCAATTCGTTGCGACAGTTCTTCTTCACCTGACGGTAGAAGTCGAGTCCACACGCCGTCACAGCCTTCCCCTCCGACAGACATTTGCGCGGATCTCTCTCCTCGATGCGACATAACATGAATTCCTATCACAATCACACCAATGGTTAGCAGTCATTATCACCAACAGCTGATCCAATGTCAGCAAACCTTTGATATCTGGTCGCAGTATTTGCCGAAATGCATGGCCGATGCCTTGAGCACCGGCTGCGACACGTTTATCTCCTGCACATCAAGCTCTTCATATGTGGGCAGTTGGACGTCATCTGTGATAGTCATCACTTGGGATCCGATGGACACGAAGTCTTTAGCCAAATGTTGTTGTGAAACAAATTCAATGCAATTCACACTTCACTGCACGACTCACTCGTACGACAATTACGTCCACATTAACCATACATTCAGTGAATACTGCGGTCAACAGAATAGTGTTCAGAATATTCTGTTGTTATTGTAATACAATATCTAATTTGTTTGCTATAACTTTCAGCACATATTAAATAACAGTTTTGTTTGTTTTGTTTAATTCTATCATTTATTATTTGTATAGAAATGTATTTATATAAAAGTTCATAACATAACAGGTAAATATTATTTTGTAAATATTGCACAAAATATGATGGACAATACAGTTATGATATACGATATATCTATCACTATTAAACTGTTAGTTTTAAAACTGCATATATCATTACATTGAAATAATCTAATGATACGCTGAATATACTGTATTTGCATTTATTTTAATGTTTATCTAATTTGCAATAATTTTGCTTATATTGATATAAATGATTTAATAAGATGTACGTTTGAGCACATTATACAGAATACCATGCACAAACACTATAACAAACCTTTGAACTCATCCAATAAAGTTATTGATTTCTGAACATAAACTAACTTTAAATTTCAGCTAATGTTATATTAAAATTTTAATAATATTTATTTGTTTGAATAACACTATTAAGCGGCTTGTTAATACAACTGTTGTAATAATGTTATGACATTTAAGCGATTATTTTAATAAAAATTTTGTTTTTATTAATAGTTGTCATTATGTATAAAATTTATAAATGATAATTTTTATGTGCCATATACGAATAATATTTTTGAAATATAAAACACATAATATGTTATATGTTGTATATTATATGAATTTATAGTAGTGCATGGTAAATTTCCTTTATAAACTGTGTTGGTTATAAAACATTTACGATACTATTGTCATAAAAATATAATAAATAAAAAATTAGAACTTTATAAGTGAATGACTTTGAAAAACAGATTTCACTGTATATTTTACAATGATGTACAGTAAAGTATATATTGATTTAATTCATATACAGTAAACAACTTGGAGTTTGCTCACTGAATAGCACCGGCAGACTATATACACGAAATTATATCAAATATTTAATTTAAAAGTCATGAATTTGTGAGTAATTTATTATATTAATTTTTTAAGTTTTAATACTTTAAAAATAAAATTTGCTATTAATTAATATTTTGGATAATTGTCAAATGAATAGATAATGTGAAGATCGCATAACCAAAAAAAATATAATTGAATGGATTCTGTGGTTTGGTTGCCTGGATATACTTTTCTGGAAATTTTCCATTCATTCCGAACTCATCTGTTGAATGCTTTTAAATGAATGCATTCGTTAAAT